TAAATAACCAGGGAGACAATATACAGCCTTGTCGTACTCCTTTCCCAATTTTGAACCAATCAGCTGTTACATATCCAGTTCTTCCTGTCCCACATATAGATTTCTCAGGAGACTGATAAAGTGGTCAGGCATTCCCATTTCTTTAAGGATTTGCCATAGTTTGCTGTGGTCCACACAGTCAAAGGCTTTTGCATAGTCAATGAAACAGATGTTTTTCTGGAACTCCCTGGCTTTCTCCATAGTCCTGCACATCCTTTCTCCATAATCCTAGCAATTTGCCCCTTCGAAATCCAGCTTGTACTCCCAGGAGTTCTTGGTCCATATACTGCTGAAGCCTATCTTGAAGGATTTTGAGCATAACCTTGCTAGCGCATGAAATGAGTGCAATTGTATGGTAGTTGGTGCATTCTTTGGCACTGCCCTTCCTTGGGATTCAGATGTAAACTGATCTTTTCTAATTCTCTGGCCACTGCTGAGTTTTCCAAACTTGCTTGTATATTGAGTGTAGCACCTTAACAGCATCATCTTTTAAGATTTTAAATAGTTTAATATGCAGCCCATTCATGCAACTTGCATTATCTACTTGTGGTAAGAAGAAACATTTTGTAATCTCAGAGGCCATTCTGCTTGGGGATTCTGGGAGTTGTGGTCCAAGAAAACAACTTTTTAAAGACCTGGAGACACCAAGGAGAACTCAACAAAGTGCAAGATACTTCCCTGAGAAAACACTTCTCCAAAGGAGATGGTATTACTCAGACATCACTTCTGCCTACACCTCTCTGCCACTCATAGTGGCCCATGGATCAGACCACTTCCTTCTGGCCCCTGTGTCTGCACAATAAAATGGCAACCAGCCTATAATCCTCAGTGGATGTGGGGGATTTATACCTGTGGAGAGGAATTGATGGGCAGTCAAGAGGAGCGGAGGAGAGATCTTTGCTTCGTAATTGCCCTTGAAGATAGAAAAATCCCACTTCCTTCTGCTGCTGGCTTTTCTTTTAGCCTGATTGTCAGCTGCAAAGGAAAAAGGAAAAAAGGCTAGTCTGCAGTGCCAGCGATGCCAAAGATGATTGCAGATGGGGCTGTGTGCACACTGCATTGAGCAGAAAAAGGATGCAAGAATCTTACAATTACAGGTTTCAACTAGAAGGACACCAGTGTTTCTAGTGCTCATGAATACTGAAGGAAATTTGAAAATGCGTGGTTGCAGTCTGCAGATGGCTCAGAAATGAGAGTGTAATTTAAATGAACCTTCATGTGTGGAGGAGGTAGAACTCCAGGGCTTTCCACCTTTCCCTGTCTTAAATCCCTTCTTAATTTGGAAGTAGAGTCAGCATCAGAATCCTCTCTTCGAGGCACATGAAGCTCCAGCTAGATTAAACTTCAGATTCTGAGCTGTCTGAAGGTAACTATTGTATTTCCAAAATTTTCTCAGGGTTCATGAGCACTAGAAACACTTGTGTTCTTCTAAAGTCTATGAGATTCTGGTTTGTGTTCTTCCCCTCCGTTTCCACACTACACAGCATATACATATTCCAGTACCAGGTTCGTTTCCCCTTCTAAGCACTGTGTTTGTAATTTATAATATTCTTCTGTGTCCAACATAGTACATTTGGAATGAAAGGAGCACTGCATTCTTTCATTGTATTTATTTGTTGAATTCATTTATACCCACCATTCATTACCAAACATTTCGAGGAGGGTTGATTGGAGGATTAGATCTATATCTTTATTTATATTTGTATCCTGCTCTTCAGCAAGTTCCTTGGTCAGCTTAGAAAGATTTAAAAAGGACAATAAAAGCACATTTGAAACTGTTTTTTACCTATATTAAGGATATATTATGTTATTAATTGGAAAGAAGGGGTATCATATTTTAATGGAATTTTATTACCCTGCCTGACTTTACGAAACAATAAAGTGGTGCCCTGCATAGCGACGATAATCCATTCCAGGAAAATCGTCGCTATCCGGAATCATCGCTATACAGAAAGAAAAACCCCATAGGAATGCATTAAACCCCGTTTAATGCGTTCCTATGGGGGAAAAACTCACCGCTATGCAGAAATCCTCCATACGGCCGCCATTTTCACTGCCTGGTATGTGAGGAAACCACACAGAAACACAGCGGATGGCCATTTTGGAACCGCCGATCAGCTGTTTAAAAAAACATGGCAATGCGATCACTTTTGCAATCGCAAAATCCGCATCGCTATGCGGATTTGTCATTAAACGGGGCACTCGCTATGCGGGGCACCACTGTAATTATATGTATCTATTTTATATTGATTTGGTTTTACTGGTCTTTGACCATAATAAAATATACTACTACTACACATTTGAACACATTGACACAAATACATTTAAAACAGCAGCATTCAGAGACACCAGATTGAAAAGACACAGAAAAGCTCAGAGGACAGAAATATGGCAGGAAAGAAGCTTCAAGCAAGGAGAGGTTGAATGTTTGCCATGACTGAGTTCTTACGAGAGAACCCGGTCCCGGGAAGGGATTCATGCGCTGCCATCAGGCATGCATCGGCCATGTGCGGAACTACTCAATATCTGTGTCCTGACTTCAGCCACACATAGTGTAAGCAACAGGAAGCCTTAAGATTTATTTATTAGGATTATTGCTTTTCATGCTTAAAACCCTGCCACAAATCCACTAGGCAGCCTTGAGAAAGCCACTGGACCAATTCACATAGCAAGATTGTTCCAGGGAAAAAACATGATAACCATATTTTCTGTTTTGGGCATTAATTTTGTTCACCATTTTTTTTGTGTGATATTTGTTCGATTCTTTTTAATAGTACTGCTTACTTGGGACGGCCTGGAACGACCAACGAGCTCCCGGGAGGGCTTCTTTCTAACGCGTTCCTTTTCCACCCACAACTCCCTGGCAGGCCCCGCGTGCCCACGGACTCTCTCTCGTGTGTGTGTGTGTGTGCCCCCTCCAGACGTCAGAAAAGTCCCTCAAGTGGCCCACAGAGAAGGGATTTCAATTTCTGCCGCTTCCCACCAAGACCTCCCGCCCGCCGGCCCGCCTTGGAAGGAAACGGGCGGGACCCCGTTCGGAAGGCCCGGCAGAAGGCGCCCCGCCCCTTCTTGGACCAATCAGGGACCGGCTCCCTCCACTCGACCAATCATCAGGCCTCCCTTCAAAGGTTCCAGAGTGTCATCTTCCATTGGCCAAGCTCTCCCACCCTCGACCAATCAGAGGCCAGCCCTCTTTCTCCTCCCCCCCCCACAAACTCCCTCGGTTCTTTTCCTCACAGAAAATGGCCTCAAGAGGGGCAGCGGCGGCAGACCCAAGAGGGGCCACCAGGCCTTTTTCAGTCTTGGAGGGGCCGACGTGGGGCCTCACCTCTGCCGCCAGGCGGGGCCCACGGGGGCCGCTCGCTCGGAGTCCCCGGCCTGCCGCAAGTGTCCCACCGGAGCCCGGCCGGATAAAGTCTCCTCCCTCCGGCAGCCTACTGGCGATTTGAAACACCCCGCCTTGTGACGTCATCACGTTTGAGACGGGCTCAGAGGGAGGAGCCAAGTGAATGGGAGGAGCTAAGGCGGAGCAGCGAGAAAGGGGAAGCATAAACTAATGAAAAAGTTAGAGCAGACCATCGCCTCAAAGGCAGGGAATGAAGACGGGATACATGAAGTGGAATTTTTTTTTTGATCCATGAAACCTAACAAACAGTGGAATATTCTGCCTTTCCTCTTCCTCCTTCCAGATGCTCAGCGGCCCTTTTTTGGACAAGGCTGTTAGGCTCTGGCGGTTTCAGAAGCACCTCGTCTAGTCACTTCTTGCCCCCACTTGACCCTCAGTGGTGAAAATGGAAAATAATCATGCTAACTACCGTTGTATATGCATTGCTTTCAACTTGAAATATTGTATTT